TCCTGCCCCTAGCTGGCCCCCGCTCAGAAGTCCTGGAACGTGGCGGGGGGCGGGGCCTCGTCCCGACGTTGGCACGACGACGGCAGCGCCGAGAAGCGGATTGGTGGCCCTTGAACCGGAAGTCGTCAGAGCTGCTCGTAAGCCGCGGCGGGCCGCGGGCCGCGGGCCTTCTTCCTCGGCGCTGCGGCGGCAGAATGGTTGGCGGCGGGAAGCGGCGGCCCGGCGGGGAGGGGTTGCAGGTACTGCCGGGAAGGCTGTGCGGGCTCGGCGGGGCGCGTGGGCGTGCGCCTGGGTGCCGCCAAGGAGAGCCCATGTCATTCATCCGGTAATGAGGGACGGGCTGCTGTGTCCCCGGGGGCGGGGACACCCCCCCCACCCCGGCTCTGCTGGGGACCGAGCCTCGGCAGTTCGGCCTCCGCCCCTTCTCCCGGCCTTTGCCCGCGTGGAGGCCGAGACCAGGTGAAGGCCACCTGCACGCCCGGCGCCGCTGTCGGCCGGCGGCACACAGGTGTCTGGGCTTGGTTGTCGTGCCCGTGCGTGGAAATGGCAGTGACACACACAAGGAGGCTCGCGCGCGCCCTAAAGGATGTTCACGGAGACTCTGGGGGCAGCTCACTGTTTGGAATGGTTCTTGAGGGATCAGTCGAGGCTGCATTGGGGCAAAAAGCGAAGCTTTTCCATGGAAGCGAAGACGTTTGTGGCACCGCAGGGAGGTTGGTGTGGCTGGAGCTTGACACGGAGGGAGGGACCAGACCCTCAAGGCGCAGGTCCTGTAGGAGAGAAGTGTCCTAAGTATAAAAGGGTTAGGAACATTATTCCCGCTGTATTGTCAACTGAATGGGGTGAGGCTTTTTCAGAGGGCCTAATTCACTCCGAGAGGGCTGTGGCTGTGGGCTTTCTTCATATGCTGGGTCATTCATCTTAGTAGCACCAGCCGAAAGACTACGTGTAGCCACTTGTAAATTCTGCACGTTGACGATTTGGAGCTGGGTAGGGCAGAGCTGGAAAATCCTTTGTCTTCTTTTGAAAGTACAATACAAACTGTGGCAATATAAGAATTAGGGATACATTACTAAAATCAAAGGCAAAGTTGTAAAGCCTGTACCTAACCATAGTGGTCAGCATTTATGTATTATTTACTGTGTGCTAGACGTTGTTCTATTTTCACATACACCAAAAAAACAACCCACATCTGTCTAGTCCAAGCCTGACTCATAGCAGCCCTACAGGATGGAATAGAACTGACTGATAGGGCTTCCCAGGCTGTAAATCTTTACAGAAACGGAACCAGAGCAGCTGGATTCGAACTGTCGACTTTTGTTAACTTCTCTAGCACTAGAACTCGTTTTAAAAACCGTAATGACTCATTAACCACCCTATTGTTAGTTGCTGTCTCATTGGTTCTGCTTTAGCTGTCCTGTGCACAACAGAATGAAACATTGCCCTGTCCTGTGCCATCCTCACAGTTTCTTGATGTTTGAGCCCAGTGTTGAAGCCACAGTGTCAGTCCATCTCCTTAGTGCACCAGTAGGTGCTACTGAAGCCTTTTGTGTAGATGAGGAAACAGGAGCAGAGAGGATATATGAGGGAAACTTCAGATAATTCATGAGAAAATAGAATGAGAACATCCTGGAGTTTTTCCATGAACTTTTGAAGCCATTTGTATAACTTGCCGAAGGTACGGGAGCTGAAATGGCAGAGGCAGGAATCACCCCA